AAAAAAAATTGTAAAATATTATATATAAATGTCATGGCGGTGCCTTTTTCCTACATAAAGGTCAATGTATTGAATTTTAAATTAATATTTTTTATATAAAAATCTTTATTTTATATTTTGATACTGTTTACATGATAAGATAACATATTTAAAAAAAAAAACAAAAAAAAAAGGTGTTTTACAATATGTTGTGCATTGAATTGTGATACACCAATCATTAAATTAGGGAGGATACTAATTTAATAATTAATATTTTATAATATAAAATAATTTAAATTATAAAATATTATTCTAACATTATGAAACAGCCCTATCAAAAAATAACAGCATGGATTTACCAAAAAAATAATAATAATAATAACAGCATGGAACTGGAAAAATTGTAGTAAAAAGAAATCTGTCTCTGATTAATTGTATACTCCTCTTATGAGTTCTGATTTTCTTGCCCCGGTTAATTGTAAAAATAAGAGTATAATCTTTTTTTATAACTTTTAGTTGCAACTTTTACATGTTAAATAATTTAATGTATAATATTATTGGATTTTAATAAAGGAAAAAAAGGTTAATTGTTAAATAATATATAAAATTATATAATTTTTAAAAAATATCTCTAATCATTTTCCAAGTCCGCACTAAAGTTTAAATTTTAAAGTCATTATTTAAGAAATTTAATTTTTTTTAAATGTATTACATTGATGTAAGAGATGTATTTTTAAAATTATTTGAAAAAAATTAATTTTAAGATATACAAAAATTGATCTAAAATCTTTATATTTTTTATACCAAAAAACTTTTTTCAAGTGCATAAAAAAACCTAACCACTATCAGATTGTGTGAATTATTTTTTTATACATATTATTGTTATTATTATTTGAGTGATTTTTAGGACACAATCACGGGTGATGCATTAAAAAATTTGTTTATTTATATGTTAGTTTAAAGAGTTAATTCTTAAATTTAATATATAAAATAACATTTATTTATTTGTGAATCCAAGCCGTGAGGTATTTATATACTATTATTATGGACAATAATATACTTGCAATTGTAAGTCGATTATTTTTTGGCCGAAGATTGTAAATCCATTACAAAAAATAATTGAGAGACAGCTTTATCATATTATTAATTCATACAATCTTGTAATAGATTTGATAATTAATTTTTTTATTTAAAAATTTATAAAAATATTATATGTATCTATTTATTTAATATCATATTATATTTTATTAAATATTACATATACCGGATATTATAAATATAATATTACCATTATAAATATTACTAACATCGTTCGATTTTCTCTTTTTAATTTATATTGCAAAAAATAAAAATGCAGTAAAGCCCAACTGCCCAAACTAGCCCGCAACATATGAGCCAATCGTGAGTTTTGGTCAGTGACAGCTAAGGCCCACCTGTTCTGGCTGGGATTTAGCCTGGAATTGATCTATGGCCCTCCCTAGATATGTTTGATTTAGCTCATGGCTAATGGCGAGCGGTTGTTAGCTAATTGTTGATGGTGGTTTTACTACTGTTATCATTTTGGGATAATATTTATCAGTTCCAACAATGTTTTTTGATACAACTAATTGTTTCAGTGACAATGCAATTTAGAGGTAAGAGACGCAATTGTTACAATTAAGAGATTTGGACCTTGATTGAAAAGTTTCAAAAAGGTCTGACTTATCCATTCAATTCAACCATGTAAAAGTAGAATACCATACAAATGAATAAGGCCATACCTTCCTGTATTATTTCCATTTTCTCAAACAATTTGCACTATTTTTAACATAGTACGTTAAAAAAATGCATACCATCCTTCACATAAACCATGTATTTAAGTATTAGCTTAACTGCTAAGACTTTTAATTAGTAATCACCTCATCAGAGCCAGTCGAGTACAGCTGTTTCAATTCATTAAAAAAAAAAAAGGTACAGCTGTTTCAAGGATGCAGCCAGCAGCGCTGCAATCATTTGCAAATGGCTCCGCTGCAAAGCCATTTGCTGTTATACGGTGACCACTAGCAATCTGCTGGTCCCAAATCTCTCCAAATATAATCCACTGCTTAAAGATAGCAATCTCCTATGCCACATAATGTAGCAGCAAATTGGGGACTAGAAATCCTATGTAGAGATAGATTTGACAGTTAGTTGACATTGTTCTTTCATTTCTTTTGATGGATTCATTCATTGTGCACAGGACCAGTAGCAACCTTTTTTGTGTTGCTTTGTATCATTGAGTTTAAGGTAACAAATTTACATTTTACCAAAAAAAAAAAAAAAAAAAGATAGCAATCTCCCTATCTCCAGGTCAAGAGTTTTTTGCTTGGTCATTCTCAATCCTCGAGTTAGAACCCGAGAAAGAGTCTCAATCTATGAACTATGCAAAGACCATTACTGAAAATGGTTTCACAACTAAACAGTATGTGATAAACTGATTATAAGAACAAAATGCAGCAGCAAATCCAACTGAAAGAGACTAGAAAATTCCAAACAACTATCAAATGTTACATCCATTTTTTTTCAATCATAGCAACAAAATCCCAGACAACTATCAAGAAAGAAGCAGAATTTGATAAGAGTATGCTAAGCTAACAAAAGAAAATACTAAATGGAAAAACAGTGCTTCACATCCAGCTAATTATTCTTGCTTGCAAGCAATTAATATGAATGTTTTATGGCATCTCAAACTTACATTTCAAATCAATAAAGTGACGCCCTCAAGGAGTAACAAGAATGATCACCCTCAGTTATTGTACCAGGTTCATTGTAAGCAAGCATCTGAATGTGCATCTCTCACCCATGAGTGTTCACTGCTTCCCATACCAAATTCTTTGGAACTGGTTTGGTGAGTTCACGAGCCTGCAAGGCTGCAGCCCTAAGGGTTCCGACTGTCATTGCATTTGCCTTCCAAAATGATGCACTCTTGTACGGTAAATTATGCTTCTTGCATAGCTCCATAACAAATGGGGAGATTTTCCTGAGATGGCATCGAGGCAATCTTGGAAACAGATGGTGCTCAATCTGAAACTGCAAACCACCATGAAACCAATCCATCCAGGAGGAGCATGATATGTTAAGTGTCCCACCAGTCTGTACCTCACACCAATCCTTGCTACTAGGAGGACCAACAAAAACACTTGACGAGAAATGATTCAAGCAGAACTGAATATGTTGAATTCCAGTGACCGCAAAGCTTGCAACAACAAACATTATTCTCTCCCCCCAGTTGGGAAGACAAGAAACAACGAGTGGATACCAAATCCAAAACACAAGAAGACCCAGCATCTCCTGACCCCTATTAGGTACTTTTCTCTTAGACAACAGTAGGATGAAGGATTGTGCAAACAGATTAATCCTAGCAAAACACATTACAGGATAAAAAGTCCAATGCTGGTAGCTAACCAAGAACCTAGCAACAGAATCAAAATTCATCTTTCTATCATAGAAATAAGAGGTAAGTGAACTGAAGAATTTTGAAGATACCGCAAAAAATGGCATGTGTTGAAGATCTGGATCGAAATCTACACTGTTACAGCAAATGTGATGAGCATTGTGGTCCCATTTCCACCACGCAATACTGATACCAGCAAGGCAATTTCCAGTAAGGATCTGAGCAAATCGATTGAGCCTAGGGCTCATCATGATCTGGTAATGCCCGGAATCATGCCCAAGCCACCCACTCTGTATCCACAAGAACCCCATTAACCCACCACAACCCAGATGCACCCATGTACTATCCGTCCACAAAACACCCCAAAGACTCACTGTAAACAACAATGCGACGAAGCAAAGCAAAATGAACGCACCGTGTCCTTTCTTTTCGAAAAAACCCATCTTTGAGAACTCAGAGACAAGTCTCCTATAATCCTTGGACACTTCAGAGACAGAGTAATCCTTGAGATAGTAGCCAGTAAAGAACTTGTCGAGATATTTCCAAGCGGAGCCCGGATGATAAGCGACGAAGGCGTCAGTGACGTCCTGGCCGGCTAGATTCAGCAACGGAAGTGCTCCTCCTGGGTGTTCATCGCCCCATTTGGTGACATCGTAGATCTTCCCCTGTATAGAGATCCACAGATCTCCTGGTTTGTTGTGCTTTTCAAGGTCGGCCAGCGAAATGTACCTCCTTGACTCCGCCATTGAAACAAGGAACGAGCAAACACAGAATGAGATCTGAAGGAACCCCTTGTATCCTCCTTTCTGCTTAGTGAAAGAAAGAAACTTTCCGGTGTAGAATGATTATGGCATAAGAAAGGCTTGAGCTTTTTTGTGAGTTTTGGAATAGCTCTCTCCCGATGGGAGAATCGTTGGCTGGAGATTTGGGTTCTGAGTTGGTCGGAGGGATGGCCGGATGAGGAATTGATATAAGAAGAGGCAGAAGAGAATGGGTTGGGACTTGGGAGGTGGGGTTCGAAAGCCAGGCAAAATCGAAGAAGCGCCACGAATATAATTTAAACAATTAAAAATAAATAAAATTATTTTACATTTTAGTATAGAAAATATAATTTAAATATTTTTTAATGTAGATAATCTAAAAAATTAAAAAATTAAAAAGTTATCTTAAAAAATATATATATATGAAAAAAAATTGTAAAATATTATATATAAATGTCGTGGAGCTGCCTTCTTCCTACGTAAAGGTC